CACGCTTCTGTATTAAGTGAGATAAATGCTAGCAATATTACAAGAGATATGAGGGAGAAATTAGGATTCTTTTGTTACTACAAGTTATTTACACTTTCTGTGATACAGAATAGTATTATTTAAAAGTGAGCTTGCATAGTTGTAAATGTGTATTACAAACTACAGGGCAATCACTAAAAAAGGTTTAGAAAAAGTAGTATAACTGACATGCTAAGAAAGGTGAGAAAACCAAATCATATAAAATGTCCAATTAAAAATACTAAAGGCAAACAAGAGTGGAAGACAAAAACAGGAACAAAGAACAAGGTCAACAAATACAGTAGCTATTAATTTGACTATATTAATAACCACTTAGAATGTCAGCGTCTAAACATACAAATTAAAAGACAGAGTGTCAGGCCTCGCCATAGCCGCCACCAAGTCCATCGACACCACCTTTGAGAAGACCGCTGTGATGTCTTCACCAAGGGCTATTGATTTGGTTTAATAAAGCTTGATTTGAAAACAAAATCTGAGAATGGATTGGAATTGACAAGCTCAGGCTCAGCCAACACTGAGAACACCAAAGTGATGAGCAGTCTGGAAACCAAGTACAGATTCACTGAGTACAGCCTGATATTTACAGAGAAATGGTACACTGACAATACACTAGGCACCGAGATTACCATGGAAGATCAGCTTGCACGTGGACTGAAGCTGACCTTCAATTCATCCTTCTCACCTAACATTGGGGGGAAAAATGCTAAAATCAAGACAGGTATAAGTAGGAGCACATTAACCTGGGCTGCGACATGGATTTCGACATTGCTGGCCCTTCCATCTGAGGTGCTCTGGCGCTGGGTTATGAGCGCTGGCTGGCCGGCTACCAGACGAATTTTGAGATTGCAAAGTCCCGAGTGATCCAGAGCAACTTTGCAGTTGGCTACAAGACTGATGAATTGCAGCTTCACACTAATGTGAATGACAGAACAGAGTTTGGGAGCTCCATTTACCAGAAGGTGAACAAAAAGTTGGCAACCACTGTCAACCTCGCCTGGAGAACAGGCAACAGTAACGTACTTCAAAATAGCAGCTAAGTATCAGACTGACCATGACGCCTGCTTCTTGGCTAAAGTGAGCAACTCCAGCCTGATAGATTTAGGATACACTCAGACCCTAAAACCAGCTATCAAACTGACACTGTCAGTTCTTCTGGTTGACAAGAACGTCAATGCTGGTGGCCACAAGCTTGGTCTAGGACTGGAATTTCAAGCATAAATGAATAATGTACAATTGTTTAATTTGGAACTATTTTGCAGCATAACTACCTTCAGAATTTAGTGTATCTTTTAATGTTGCATGTCTGGGATGCAAGTATTGCTAAATATGTTAGATCTTCAGGTTAAAGATGATTCATCTTTAAGATGTTACCCTTTCAGAGGTACAGAAGAAACCCATTTCCAGAAAAGGTCCTTGCAGTGGTAGACTTGGAAGAACTTGGTGGCCCCTTTGAGATGCCAGGTCTCTTTATCTAGAAATGGCTGCAAGTGGAAGCTGATAATATGTAGGCATTTTGTAAATCCATATTGAGTAAATGAATGAAACTGTGATTTCCTGAGAATCAAACCTTGGTTTCCTAGCCCTAACGATGAGAGGCTTGCTGCTTGATGATGTGTACAAACTCACCTGAATGGGACTGTTTTAGATAGATCTTCATGACCTGTTCCCACCCCAGTTCATCGTCACCTCTTCCACACCAGAAGGTCTGCAGGGTGTGGTCACTGTTTCTTTTGTGCTATTCTGGGGTAGAGAGGAGGGATGTGATGAAGCCAGTAATTCAGGACTTATTCTTTCTTGTGTGGGTTTTTTTTTTGCCCTGTACCAGAGTGTGAAATAGCTTCCAGGAGAGTCTGTGTGATTGTAATCACATAGTGACAACACTCAGCATCTAAATTGGACTTCTATTGTATTCTCACCACTCAATTTGTTTTTTAGCAGTTTAATGGGTACATTTTAGAGTCTTCCATTTTGTGTGAAATTAGATCCTCTCCTTCAAATGCTGTAATTAACATCACTTAAAAAAAACTTGAATATTGAAACCTCAAAAAAAAAAAAGACCGAGTGTCAGAGTGGATCAAAAAATGAGACTTCACTATGTGTTGTCTACAGGAAACCCATTTTAACTTTGAAGACGCATAGATTAAGAGTCAACGGATGGAGAACATTACACCATGCTAACACTACTCAAAAGAAAGTGGGAGAGCTATATTAATTTTAGACAAAGTAAAATTTTAGAGCAAGGAAAATTAGCAGGGATAAAGAGGGGCAATACATAATGATAAAGGGTCAATTCTCTAAGAAGACATAACAATCTGTAATTTGTATGCACCTAACAAGACATAACAATTTTTAATTTGTATGCACCTAATGGCAAAGTAATCAAAATAGTTGGCAAACCCATACAACTGAAGGAGAAAGACAAATTCACAATTACAGCCAGAGACTTCAACACCCCTCCATCACTGAAAAATCCAAGAGGCAGATTTAAAAATCTAATTGAACTGAACAACATCATTCATTGATTAGATCTAAGTGACATTCATAAAGCCTTCTTCCAACAACAGCAGTATGTACATTCTTTTCAAGCTCACATGGACCAATCATGAAGAGAGACCACATCCTCTATCATAAAGTGCACTTAACAGATTAGAATAGAATTCATACAAAGTATGGTCTCAGACCACAATGAAATTAAACTAGAAATCAATTATCAGAAAAATAGCTGGAAAATCAAATTATTTGGATATTAAAGAACACACTTCTACGTAACAAATGGGTCAAAAAAGTCTCAAGAAAAAAAGCTTAAAATACTTGAAACTAAATTAAAATGAAAATTCAACTTAAAATTTATGACATGGAACATAAACAGTACTTGGAAACTTATAGCAATGAATGCATATATTAGAAAAGATGATTTAAAATCAATACTCTTAAGGTTCCACCTTAATAAACTGAAAAAGGAAGAACAAATTAAATCCAAAGTAAATAGAAGAAATAACAATTAGAACAACTCAATAGAGAAAATTAACTATAATCAAAAGCTACTTCTTGGAAAAGATCAATAAAATTCATAAGCCTTCAGCCAGGTAGAGGAAAAAAAAGAAAAGACATAAATTACTAATATCAGAGATGAAAAAAGAGGACATCACTATAGATCCCATGAACATTAAAAGGATAATTAAGGAAGACTATAGACAAATTATATTCCTACAAATTTGATAACATAGATAAAATGACCCAATTCTTTAAAAGACACAATCTGCCAAAGTTCACACCATAAGAAACAGACAACCTGAACAGGCCTGTATCTATCAAACTTAGTCGATACTTAATAACCTTCCAACACAGAAAAAGAACTCACAAGCCTACAAGGGTTCATGAGTGAATTCCACCAAACATTTAAGGAAGAAAATATATGAATTCTCTCCAATGCCTTTCAGAAGACAGAAGCAGAATGAATACTTCTTAACCCCTTCTATGAGTCCAGCATTATCCTAATACCAAAACTAAACAACAACAATACAGGAAAACTATAAACCAGTATCTCTCATGAACACAGATACAAAAATCCTCAACAACATATTAGCAAATGAAATCAATGATGTATAAAAAGTTTTATACACCATGACCAAATGGGATTTATCTCAGGTATGCAAAGCAGTCCAACATCTGAAAATCAATTATGTCATTTATTACATTAAAAGGCTAAAGTAGAAAAATCAACTAGGAATAGAGGGAACTTCTTCAGCCTCATAAAAAATATCTACCAAAAACTGTATAACTAACAACACACTCAGTGGTAAGAAAGTAGAAGCATGCCCACATTAGGAACAAGGCAAAGGTGATCCCTCTCATGACACCTTTTCAAAATCAAACTAGAAGTCTCAAATAACGTAACAAGCCAAGAAGTGGAAATAAAAGTTATAGATATTAGGAAGGAAGAAATAAAACTGCAGATAAGATCGTCTATTTAGAAAATCTTAAAACAATCAACCAAAAAAAAAACCCTCCTAGATCTAATAAGTCATCATAGCAAGGCTGCAGTATACAAGGTTAATAATATGAAAGTCAGTTGCTTGCCTATATTCCATTAATGAACAATACCATTTATTAATACATTAGCACCCCCAAAAATAACTACGTAAAAATAAATCTAACAAAATATATACAAGAATCACGTAAGGAAAACTACAAAACTGATTAAAGAAATCAAACAAGATAAAAATAAATGGAGAGATTCCAATATGGATAGGAAAAGTCATTATTGTTAAATGTCATTTCTTCCCAACTTAATCTATAAATTCAATATAATCCCAATCAGAACCCCAACAGGTTATTTTGTGAACATTGACAAACATTCTAAAGTTTACATGGAAATGCAAAAGACAAAACAAAATACTGGAGAAGAAGAGTTGGAAGACTGATATTACCCTACTTCAAAGCCTACCATATAACTACAGTGATCATGACAGTATGGTAAGGGCAAAAGAACAGAGAAATTAGTCAACGGAAGTAACAGTTTGGCAATTCTTACAAAGCTAAACATAGGCTTACCATATATAAAATCCCACAATCATACTCCTAAGCATTTACCCAAATGAATTCAAAAGCTTTCCCAGGAACTGTTTATAGCAGCTTTATTCAAATACGAAGAGCTGCTGTACATCTATCTACACAATTCAGCAATAAAAAAAAAATGACCTATCAAGTCACAAAAAGATACGGAGGATCCCTTAAATGCATACTTCTAAGTGAAAGAAGTCAATCTGAGTACGTGAGCCACCATGCCTGGCCTATTAAATTTTTGTTAAGAAGTCATAACCAGCTTAAATTGATTTTAGAAACATAACCTCTTCTTAAGATGATGGTCCCTGTGATATATCTGAGGGAGAAACAGACATGTCACTTATTAACAAGTTTAAGAAGTAAAGGAGGGAAGAAAAAACTGCTATATGACTTACCTGTTGCTTCAAAAGTCAATTTTATAGAATCCCAAGGTGTCTGTTCTTTGGATATGAGTCGGAAATGAGCAGGATTCCTTGGAGAAACTTCCGGCGCAGGAAGATACCAGTTTTTCCTATTTGGAAAGGTAGCTTCAATATTTAGGGTGCTTTATTAGTCAATGGCTACCTGTAACTCACAGAAGTGTTCAGCATGTATGAACACATTTTGGAGTATGAAAATAAACTGATAGACATAATAAGCAATGCCAACTCCCAAAAACTCAGATTATTTTGCAATAAAAGCTTCTCAATATTAAGAACAAAGAAGTAACCTAGGTGATCTTGATTCTACCACCCATCCTATTTCTTCTCATCCAGTCCTTCACTGCCAAGCTATAAAATTTTCCCAGAGAAAACAATTTTTAAGATAGATGCTTAATGGCTATTACATTAGTTAGAAGGGTCACCTTTTCTAACCACTCAGGTTTCTAGAGAAAAGACTTTAAATTTGAAAAAGCAGAACTACTCCTCTGAGTGCTTTATTTCACTCAAGAAAAAAACAAGTTCCATAATGATAGAAAAAACACTACAAACAGCACTGAACTTGTATATTAAGGATGACAGTTTAAACGGTAACAGTACTGATATGGTGACAAGACTTGAGAACAAACTAATCTCCAACTTAAGCAGAAAAATAATCAACCAACCTGATTAGAAAGTGCACTGGAAGATACCAAGGAAAACCACAGAGAGGTGCATTCTCTTCACAGTGAGCTCGGATGCTATCATTGATCTCAGGAATATGAGGGGTTATGTGAGACATTCCAGTATAATCAAACCCATTGATCCATACTCCAGAGTCCCGTTTAACTGCATTTCCTTCTAAGTCATGAAATGTTCTAGTCATATGCTAGGGAAAAAAAAAAAAAAAAAAGACTAGTGAGAAAACTATTTCAACTAGTACACCCACATTCTCACAAAAATGGAGTATGACAATACCAAGAAATGATGTGGATATGGAGCAAGTAAATGAGACACTCAGGGTTTCTAATGTATTGCTAAGGGTTCTTTCTTATAAACTGGAAGATGGATATATAGATGATTGTTTTGCTGTATCTTCCAAATATATTTAGGTTTCCTATAAAATTTTTTGAAACTTCCTATTTCAGATTTAAAAGGCATGAATGTTAGAGCTCCTCTGAGATAAGAATTTAAAACAAATACATCCTAAGCACATATATACATACACACTCATTTCCCCTTTAGTGTTTTATGAAGCTAATTAACATGCAGACAAAAACGGGAATTGCAGTTCACCACTAGGTGACAGCCTTGTGCCTAACAGAATTTTATAAAAAGGCACCATGCTCCATTTGGAATAACTTTATTCAAGGCAGAAAACAGCCTGAAGCATATCAATGGTGGGGGAGGAAAGAAAACACTGCATAGGGTAGGCGCCTGCAAACTGCAGCCAACAGAGCAAACCATCCACTGACTCACTAACTGTTTTTATATACGAACTGTTATTTGAACATGGCCACACTCATTTGTTTAGGTATACTCTCTTGCTGCTTTCGCTCTGTAAAATAGTCACTGCAACAGACTGTATTGCTGACAAAGCCCAAAATATTATCTTGTCCTTTACAGGAAAAGGTTGCCAACTTCTGGCACGGTGGAAGAGAACCCCAAGACAAATCAGAAAAGGACCAGCTTTTCCTAAGTATTACTGACATAATTATAAAACCTAGTACATCATGAAAAACACACTGAACCTCCTAAAAAAAAATGTTGTCCTTCACTAAAGGTTTTACAAATTGTAAAATCTCACATAAAATTTATCACGGAATCCTTCAGGACTACAACAAGGAATTGTTATTTGGACCCTTTTCTAAGTCTCCTAAGTTCAAGCATTTTTAATTTTTTAAGTCCTTGAATAGTGATCTAGGTTATAATTTCTCTGACATTTCTGTTTGGCTAGTCCACAACCTCTAACAGAGATGACTAGAATTGAGGCTTACTGCTTTATAGTACCAGGTCTAAAAAATCTGAAGAATCTGAAATCTAAAATAAGTCGTCAAACTGGCCAGGCATGGTGATTCACACCTGCAATCCCAGGCACTTTTGGAGGCCGAAGTGGGCAGATCACCCGAGGTCAGGAGTTCAAGAACACCCTGGCCAATGTGATGAAACCAGTCTCCACTAAAAATTCAAAAATTAGCCAAGCGTAGTGGTAGGTACCTGTAATATCAGTCACTTGGGAGGCTGAGGCAGGAGAATCACTTGAACCCAGGAGGACTGAGGTGGGCAGATCACCCAAAGTCAGTTCAACAACACCCTGGCCAACATGATGAAATTTATCTCCACTAAAAATTCAAAAATTAGCCAGGTGCAGTGGTGGGCACCTGTAATCCCAGCTACTTGGGAGGCTGAGGCAGGAGAATCACTTGAACCCAGAAGGCAGTGGTTGTAGTGAGCCAAGATTGTGCCACTGCACTCCAGCCTGGGCAACAGAACAAGACTCCATTTCAAAAAAAAAAAGGAAAAAGAAAGTAAGTCCTTAAAACTCATTTTAATTAATCCCTTCCTAAGTTATAGTTTCACTATCACATATTACTTTGAATGTTACTTAATTTTACTAGTATTTTTAAATATCAATTTTATTTTGCCAGTTGACAGTTTAGATTTTTACTCAGCCTGTAGACACTCTTACAATCTATATTTCTAAAAACTCATTATTCCATCATATATATTTGCTCTTGTTTTTCCAAATAGGTGCAGTTTTATAATTTGAATAGTAATAAAAACAAGCAAACATTTCCAATTCAGTCTCCTGGGAGATATATGTCTAGCTGATAAGAATGCCTCTTGACAGTCAGTCTTCTGTCTTACACACAAAAAAGGTGAGTATGACCAAGTAGGTCAACAGCAGAAAAGTCAGTTGTGCTTCCGATTCACTACTGAAGCTCAAAACACACAAGGCTTTCCTTTTCACATCTCAAATAGCTCATGCAAAACTGCTCACCTGAAGAAATACTCTCTTTGGCTTCGGATTAGCAGGATTGGAGCTATATGGAAAAAATGTTCCACTGCAAACAAGGAGGAATGTAATTGCACATACCAAAGTTAAAGTTAGCAAGGTTTTTTTTGTGCTCTTGGCAAGGTAGATGAAGTTAATCTAAAACACAAACCACAAACATAGAAATATTACAAATTCATGCTAGTAGTGGAAAGGTGTTTTTAACTGACTTTACTTTTAACAGGTATTATCTAACAGACCCTGAAGAAAATTTATCAGCAGGTGCTAGCATACTCCAACAACTAGTAAACGAAGCACTAACTCTAGGAGATTTCCATCACAGGTGAGAACCTAGAAAATGATAGATGCCTCCAATCTGCTATGATGGTGCCACCTTTTTAACACACAGCCATAAACCAACAGGAAAAAAGAGGACTGTCGCTGTCCTCAATCAGCAAAAAGAATAGAAATGTAGATGTAATCGATTATTCATTAAATAACCAGAGATAAGCTTTAAGCTTAGGCAGATCTGTTTGGACAAAACTCCAATTCCGCTCATAATGCTTTAAATTTATGTCAGAATACTGAATTCATCTAAACTAGCATACAGATATACCTTTGAGACTTTGCCAGTGGACCTGCATATGAGGAAAAACTGCATTTCAAGTAACATTACCCCTTTAGGTGACAAATCAACCAACGCCAACACAATCAAAACAACAAATCTGAATTTGGGCAGTAAACATAAATGACTGAGTTTCAAGGCTGGCATCCAGAAAATCCTAAATATACTTATCTTAGATTTTTAATTGTAATGAAATCACTGAACTAAAAACTGTAAGGGACATACACAACTCAGAATATTCCATAGATCCCTTACAAGGTCTGAAGAAGCCATTTGGGGAAGCTATAGGTGAAATTTTAAATTGTTCTAAGAAGCCACATTTTAAATATTGTGACTACTAGGAGAAAGAGGGACTGACAGGGTGACAAATTTTGTTTTGCTAACTCACAGCCTCAAGTCCTCAGGTATTCTGTCTTATTTTTGTACTCAATGTATACAAATGTGAGATGTGTGACCTAAGGCTAGTACTGTTTTGTTGCAGATGCCTCTGGATGGAATACTGGTACACTACAGACATAAAATCTAAATCCAGCTCCCCTTTTTGCCTTCTTCATTTTATTTCTCTACTTATTTCCATAAGTAGAGAAATAACAAGAATGTGAATTTTTTCTTTTTGAGACACAGTCTCACTCTGTCACCCATGTTGGAGCACAGTGGCACAATCTCAGCTCATTGCAACCTCCACCTCCCAGGTTCAAGCAATTTTTGTGCCTCAGCCTCCTGAGTAGCTGGGATTACAGGTGTGTGCCACCATGCTCAGCTAATTTTTGTATTTTTAGTAGAGATGGGGTTTCACCATGTTGGCCAGGCTGGTCTGGAATTGCTGACCTTAAGTGATCCACCCGCCTCAGCCTCCCAAAGTGCTGGGATTACAGGCGTGAGCCACCACACCCAGCAAGCAATCAGTTAATAGGTATCCTTGGGTATTCTTTGCTGGGCCTTCATGGTTATATGCATATTGATTGAACAAAGCTGAAATGGGGACTGCAGGTACAAGTGGGGTCAGGAAAAGAAGAGTCAGAAACAGCTCAGTCATCAGCATACACTGGACATTTCAGAGTCCCTTTTCATGCTTCTCTTCAATTTATTTTGTACCCATCTCAGAACCTAGAGTGACACAGGATGACATATTTCAGGAAGGCTGAGGCAAGAGAATTGCTTGAACCCGGGAGGTGGACGTTGCACAGAGCTGAAATCACGCCACTGCACTCTAGTATGGGCAATAGACTCCATCTCAAAAAAAAACAAGCAAACAAAAAATAAAACCTGATCACTTGACAAGACTTTAACTGCTTTCTAGCAGATATTTTTAATATATCCCCAAGGACTGAAGGAAAAGCTCGCTGAAATATGCATTGTGGTTCAATTCTCCATTACCCAAAGAAGACAGTCTTACTCTATTAATAAGCCACTATCACTGATACTGCTACACATAAATAAGAAAATTATTAAAAGACTGATAACTCATGGCATCAAAGTGTGGCAGGGCTATTTCACATTAAAGATGAATATTAAGCGAGCTTTCTAAAGTATTCCAAGAGGCAGTCTTCTTTCTCAAAGCTTTTCCAATAAAATGTAATTTGGAAGACAAGACATTTTAATCCTCTTTCTTCTGGTTTCCCAGATTTCCATGCTTTGGGGACATTTTCTATTTCCACAATGAACATCTCCAGGGTTCATTTTGCCCCCTTCCACATTATCAGTGGAACAGAATTTAAAAGTCCCATATCTGAGTCATCTTTTATGGACATCCATAGCTCCCATTCATTGACTATAATTTAATAAATACACAGGGTTGGGGGCATTCCGTTCATAACTAGCTGACTTTTGATTAGAACCTAATCTACAGATGACAAAACTCCACTATCTGCTTTAATCCTTACAACAGCAAAACCTATCAAAAATACAGATGATATAAGGGTTAATATTAAACCAAAAAGAAGAAAACCCTACAGGCAACAAAGAACATTTTAGAACTTTTCATCTATCCCTATGAATACCAATAAGGATTATCCTTATCCTTATATTATCCTTAATAATTATCCTGTAAATAAAATGATTGGAATGTTCAGCTCAGATCTCTTTCAAGAGTAGTACAGCAGACCTCAAACAATAATATGCATAAGAATTACTCTACAGAGTTATATACACAAAGCCACATATATAGAGCTTAATGGCTATTTAAGGGACTTCTATGGATGATCCTGACCATGTGTGTAGTATTTTCCTTACCTGCTGTCTTTAGAATCTAACTTCCACAAAGTAAAGAGGTAAAGATGCCCTCTACTGTTATCAGTATGAAAAAACTCACTATCATCTCCAAAAGACAAGAACTATAATAAAGTCATAGCTCCTTTTTCTATTTGGCTCCCTATCCTCAAATTTCAAGGTATACCTACAAGTGTTCAATAACTACTTTTTATTTTTAGGAATTCCAATCAAAAGAGCCACAGAACTCTCTGGAGGCACCCAGCCTGGGTCTTGGAGGTAGACACCAAGCCAAAGCAAAACCTTGCCTGGGTTTTGCTCTGCCAAAGGGGGATCTGTTCTTAAACTCTGCATCACTGTCTTTTTTCCCTCTGGGAAGTCCTAAGGGAAGAAAAAAAGAGATGGCAAACGGAACTCTCCCTACTAGGGCAGGACACTGATACAGCAAAATGAGGACTGACAAGGCCTGTGACAGTTTCATTATTTGGTAAACGAAGGCATGTTTGGATGTCGTAACAGACTCAATCAATGAACTTGCATGTGCTAGCAACAAGGCAGTGGAATGATAATGAAAAAAGCTTCATTAGAATTAGTCTTCCTTCACTAGCTCTAACAGCACTAATAAAACCACCCATGTATTTATTAACATTTGCCTCTAGTAATTTCAAAACACACTGTTAGGATCATTCACCACCAGGAAATCTCTAACAATTCATACTTGGTAAGCACTCTACAAATTCACACTCAGGTATCTAAAAAGCTATTTGAAAAGAGGTAAATTAGAGAATTTGGAAGGATAGACAGGCAAAAATTTTTTAAATACCAACAACAAAAACTCCATTCTACAGTTTTTTACCTTACCAAATTTATAAGATGCACAGCCATTCACCATTTCTTCTGCTGCAGATTTTCTCAATAAAGTACACATAACGCTATTTCACAGAATCTAGTATGGCTAAACTCATATAAAAAATGAAGAAGAAAAAACTTATTTTCTCTTACAAAGTAGGAAGAGAGAATCATTGCACATCCAGCCAAAATGGATGCCAGCACAACATCAGGTGGGATTTCGGAACCACTTCTCCCGAGGATAGGAGTAAACATCTCAAATACCGCCCAGATGAGGTACAATGCATAAAGATAAGGAATAAACATCCCCAAAAGGTAAAAAGCAAAAAATTTTCCTTGGGCACCTAGGGATAAAAGAGAAAAAAGCACACATTTATGAAATCCTACAGTGAGATATAAATTTTTATAGTACTGGTGTGCCTTGGTACCCTAACAGAAATTAGATTAGATATGACTTTTGCCCTTAAGGGTATATGTTATCTTGCAGTAGGATCTTTCACTCAGAAAGGATAAAATAGAAATAAGAGTTAAGCAAAATACACAAGTAATATATTAGCATGTGTTCACAAACATGAGAAAGGGATGGGGTATAAGGCATAATTTGTATAGTGTGAAAACTTTTAAAAACAACTTAGAAAGTCTACTCAATAAAATAAGAATCCCTGAAAGCCTTATCTTATGTACTTTAAGGTATTTTCCCATGTATATCAAAATAAAAAATACCCTACCATGCTGCTTAAAGTCCTTATGCACACAGAGCTTTGTGAGCAATGGGAATGCTACCCAGACAGCACTAATAAATGCCGAGCAAAGTCCTTGGTAAGTGAGGGCTACAAGAAAACAGCAATGGACAAACAGCGAGATGTCAAAAAATACTTCTCCCAGATACTGGTCACTGGCATTCTGAAAGAAAGAAAAATACACAAGTAGTGTCACTCACGGGTCATTCATAAAGAGCTTTTATTATAGCAACACAATTTCCATCACTCAGGAAACTACATTTTGTTTTAAACATGGTCTGCTCTTTAAACTGATTTAAAGTAAACACTAACAAAGCTGCTTCCCATCATGAAGTAATAAATTCAAATTGCAGCATACGGGCAGTTTAACAAGATAGAGTATAAATGCTCCATATCATCTATGCTTTTCTTCTACTAGGCTAAAAGTAGAAATACTCCAAAACAGAAGAAAGGACTCTCCTAAAAAAACATTTATCTCTCTCAGCTTTTCTGTTCATGCAAATTCCAAACACTGTTTCAGGCAAACTAGAGAAATGACCTGTGAAGGAACATTACAAACTGCTGCAGCACCACCAATAGCCAACACCTGGAAAACTGCAGGACCTTTAAAGCAATCCGGAGTTTGGCTTATTTTCCTGTCTTTTCTATCTCCAGTTGGTCTTGTATTGTACCTTTGCCCCCTTCTTGTATTCCTCATGCTTTAGTATCATAAAATTTGATCTTATATTTTTTGAGATTTAAAGTCCAAGGGTTCTTGTGCAGCACCTTGCACTCTTCAAAATAAAGTTGCCATGTAAACTTTTTTTTGAGACAGGCTCTTGCTCTGTTGTCTAGGCTGGAGTGCAGTGATGCAATTCGGCTCACTGCAGTCTCAGCCTCCTGAGCTCAAGGGATCCTCCTGCCTCAGCATTCTCAGTAACTCAGACTATAGGCACACACCACCACACCCAGCTACATTAAAAAAAAAAAATGCAGGCCGGGCGCGGTGGCTCAAGCCTGTAATCCCAGCACTTTGGGAGGCCGAGGCAGGTGGATCACGAGGTCAGGAGATCGAGACCATCCTGGTCAAAATGGTGAAACCCCGTCTCTACTAAAGATACAAAAAATTAGCTGGGCATGGTGGCACGTGCCTGTAATCCCAGCCACTCGGGAGGCTGAGGCAGGAGAATTGCCTGAACCCAGGAGGCGGAGGTTCCGGTGAGCCAAGATGGCGCCATTGCACTCTAGCCTGGGTAACAAGAGCGAAACTCCGTCTCAAAAAAAAAAAAAAAATGCAGAGACAGGATCTTGTCATGTTGCTCAGCCTTGTCTCAAACTCCTGGCCTCAAGCCATCTTCCCACCTCAGCCTTCCAAAGCACAGGGATTATAGGTGAGAGCCACTGTGCCTGGCCTAATATGAACTTAATACATTTTAACATCCACATGAGTGATTCTATTCACACAAACATGAAAGTTTTAATTACAGTACATAAATACAAAGAAAAAAATGGAGAAATAGATATATTTAAATTTCTCCTTCCTCTGCCTTCCCATTTATAGCCCAGGGCATGTTTGTTCTAAGGGATCCTACTTCAAGAGCTCAACAGAGTCTGTTGTATGTTTTCAAAACAAGTTAAAGTTCATTTAACAAACCTTCCCCACTCCCAACAATGAAAGATAGGCTACAGTTGCTAAATGCTTAAATTATTAACACAGTGTTGATCAAGAGGCTTGGTCTTTAAAAATAAGAAAATAATTCTTATAATTCAAGTTGAAGCTGACTGCCACTCAGATATTTTCAAAACAAAGATCTCATTTTAAGTGCCCAAACTGTACCAAAGATAAAACATCCCTCCAATCTATTTTCCTACTCACCTCTATTTATCCCTTCCCCACTCTTGCTCCATTCCAATTCACTCTATATATTGCTATCCATTTTCATATGAAATCACAAATTCTCATACTAATCTGCTCAAAACATTTTAATAGTGGCCCCACTGATGTTTGGAATCATGCTCTCACTTCACCTTGGCCTACTTTTCCAGTTACTGGACTGCCACCTTGTCTTCACCACACTGGACTTTCCATTAACTGACACACATGCATTTTATACATTCCCATCTTAAACTACTCATCAATTAGTTCCCCATCTAGTAGATGTCAACACATGCTTCAAAAACCCCATAAAGGCCAGGTGCAGTGGCTCACGCCTGTAATCCCAACATTTTGGGAGGCTGAGGTTGGTGGGACACTTGAGGCCAGGAGTTGGAGACCAGCTTGGCAAATATGGCAAAACCCTGTCTCTACTAAGAATACAAAATTTTGCTGGGCGTGATGGGGCAGATCTGTAGTCCCAGCTACTTGGGAGAATGAGGCAGGAGAACTGCTAGAACCATGAGGCAGAGGATGCAGGGAGCCAAGACTACTGCACTCCAGCCTGGGCAACACAGCAAGACTCTCACCATAAAAAACAAACAATTCAAATGTTGCCATCTCAGGCCGAGGCGGGTGGATCACGAGGTCAAGGGATCGAGACCATCCTGGTCAACATGGTGAAACCCTGTCTCTACTAAAAATACAAAAATTAGCCGGGCATGGTGGCACACGCCTGTAATCCCAACTACTCAGGAGGCTGAGGCAGGAGAACTGCTTGAACCCAGGAGGCGGAGGTTGCAGTGAGCCAAGATCGCGCCATTGCACTCCACACTGGGTAACAAGAGCAAAACTCCGTCTCAAAAAAAAAAATGTTGCCATCTCAGCCACCCTGCCACAAGCAAATTCATCTTACCTCCTCTGTATTCCTACAGCACAGTTATATGTCAATCTCTCTTTATCCCACAACATAGAGCAATTATTGTCATTCCCACCCCTTCCCAAATGAAACTGAGAGCTCCTCAAAGAAAGAGATCACATTCTTATGACTCTCCTATGGCATCATTCTTGTTTTAAAATAATAATAATAATAGAGATGTGGTCTCACTTATGTTGCTCAGTGTGGTCTCAAACTCCTGGCCTCAAGCAGTCTTCCTGCCTTGGCCTCCCAGTGTTGGATTACAGGTGTGAGCCACCATGCCCGGTCTCTGATGGTACCATGTTCACTGGGCACTTAAAGAATATTTGTGAAAAGAAAATGAAACAAATCACTCTTTCTATTGTGCTTTCAGCCTAAACTACTATGATCACACAACTGAAATTAGTAAATGATATTTTATTAAGCATTTCTATCCTACTCCTGCCCCAATCAACAATAGTCAGCCACACTATGGTCAAACACTGTTACATTAAGAGTAAGCCTGTGAAACTGAGCCCCACAGTGTAATTCTTTTGGGAACTGAAGCCACTAAGATAAAAATATGAGCTCAACTATAAGCAGATGGCTAACCTCAAAGAACCTTTCTTCAACAGGGGCTGCTAACATGGAAGGGTTCCACAGAGCACATCCCAACATTAACTGAAACTGAGACCAAAGTTCAGATACCAAAGACATGCTTGTGGAAGGATGCTAGATTATAATCATCCACGTCTCATTTGAAACCTTATCAGGATAAATTGAAAACAGCAGGCTTACGTGGAGCTAAGATCTTCCTCTAATTCACAGTCTGAAACCACGTTGCTCTCTTTCACTGTAATTCATTTTTATACCTATCATTTTATAGCTTTTTAATTTTTATTTATTTTTTTGAGATAGGGTCTCACTCTGTCCCCCAGGCTGGAGTGCTGTGGTACAATCACAGCTCATTGCAGCCTTGATCTCCTGGGCTCAGGTGATCTTTCCACCTCAGCCTCCCAGATAGCAGGGACTATAAGGGCACACCACCATGCCTGGCTAATTTTTTGTACTGCTTGTGGAGACAGAGTTTCACCATGTTGCTCAGGCTGGTCTTGAACTCAAGTGATCTGCTTGCCTCAGCCTATCAAAGTGTTGAGACTACAGGTGTGAGCAACCACATCCGGTCCATAGCCCTAATTTTTAATTTTATTTCTGCCAACAAACTTATCTATTTGAAACCATAACAGTATTCTCAGTAGAAATCATTTGGAACCCTATTTCCCTTCCCTCTGTTTTCCTTAGCAACGTGTCTTTAACCCCAATGACATACATTCGTGTAGAACCTGAATCAGCAATATATAGTTAAAAGAAAAAATAGTGAGGGCAACACTGAAGAGAAAACTTTAAGTGCAACATCCTTTAAGGCAACAAATACTTGCTGTGTGTTAGTGCTGTGTGTCAGACACTACTGAAGCACAGAAGATACAGAAATAAATAAAACAATACCTATCCTCAAGGAGTTTACACTCCAGTGGAGAACAGATTCTCCAATAACATAACTGGTTGAGCCCAGGGCATAGTTACAAAAACTGCAGCAAATTCAGTAGAAGGCTGTGCTAACAAGCCTTCCAATCACCACCACCCTAACACTGCTTACAGCCTGGCTTTATAACCTCATTTAAATTTTGTGACTTTATCCTCAGAATAAGAAATCTTCCAGAAAATTAACACAGTGTGGGTGCATTTTCCATAACCATGCTGAACAATTTTTTAGCATTTAAAAGATCAAATACAATGAATTCCACTTAAATTGATCTTCAATCCTTGAAGGATGCAGAAAGAAATCAACAGATATACCAAATACTTACCATGTAATAAAATCTTTTCGCAAGAGTATGTATAAATATTATTTTGGCTACAGTTGCAGTTCCATACAGACAAACGGAGACATAGAAGTGGTTATACCATGACAGAGACTGTCCAATAAGAGAGATGAACACTGCTATAATGAGAACAGTAACAAGGCTAGTGAACCAGCTAATCGCAGTGATCCCAAGTCCACACAAGAAGTCCTTCTTGTAGTTACCAGCTAATGAAAAGAAAACAAAAAGTTGAGATCACCATCTTCATCAAATCAATTATATAACCAGTCAGTAGAGCTAAATGGGCAAACATTAAAACAAAAAGTTTTCCACTGTAATTGAAAAATACAAATATGTCCAAAGTGTTGAGGTTGGCTAATCACTAGAACAAAGGAGGTATCAAAGAATAATATTCAGGTAACATTTATTAAGAGTCTCTAGATACTAAATACTCAAAGAGATCAGTCTTCCAGGAATAGTTCAGGTAAATTCCTCATGAAGGAAGAGGGTAGTCTTAATCTTCTTCACTTTTGGTATGCTTTGTGTATCAAAACATTAGCAAGAACGGAAGGCAAAGTTCCATATAAAATGTTCTTAAAAGAAGATAACATAAGTAGATAAGGAGTGTGGGAAAAATAAGTGGTGATAAAGAATTACTTAAATTGCTGCTAAATATTTTATCTGGTAACACCAAACAACAACTTACACACTGAAACATTTCAAATAGAAGAAACAGTTTAACCACAAGCAGTTCATTCAGACTTAAGACACTCATCCATTCTGACTACTGGTCTGTAGTGTGGACAAGACATCATTTTTCTTTTCTTTTTTGAGACGGTGTCTCAAACTGTCGCCTGGGTTGGAGTGCAATGGCACGATCTTGGCTCACTGCAACCTCCACCTCCCAAGTTCATGCAATTTTTCTGCCTCAGCCTCCCAAGTAGCTGGGATTACAGGCCCGTACCACCACACCTGACTAATTTTTTTGTATTTTTAGTAGAGATAGGTTTTCACTGTGGCCAGACTGGTCTCAAACTCCTGACCTCATGATCAGCCCACCTTGGCCTCCCAAAGTGCTGGGATTACAGGCATGAGCCACCGCGCCTGGATGGACAAGATTTTTTAATGGGACTTTTCATTATAAGTCAATCTGTACATTTTTCAATAGCTTCTATGTAGTACCTAACATGGAAGTAGTATGCCTACTTTTGGAGTCCCTAAATACATAAAAGTTGAGGGCTTCTCAAAGATGAAAAGTATAATAAGCATATTAATTATTTAAAAATTTGTTATAATATAAAGCAAATATTGTCTTAAGATTTTGTTTTCTGGGAAGATATAAACAAACTGAAAAATTGCAAGCAAATTCTACAGCAATGCCAGTATTTGTAGTTTTAGAGAAAAATACTTACTCTTATGTTTGGGCTGCAACAATTTTTTGCCCAGGTATAAAACAACAGCCATTACTACCATGTAGTTTATGATTGAGCCAATACGAGAGGGGTAGGCAATGACAAATAGGCCCAGCACATCAAAGAAGACCATGTTTCCATGTTGATACTTAGAAGCAGCAGCCAGCATATCAGATGTAGCTAAATGCTTAAGAACTGCTAAAATGTTGTCACCTATTAAAAAAAAAGATAAAAGATAAAAAGGTTGAATAAACTATCTGTGATTTACATGTACAACTATTTAAAGCAGAAATAAACCATCTACTGTTTGAATGAAAAAATGGTTAGAAACAATGTGAACAGAAATCACTTTCTACTCTCCTACTGCTCTCTCTCACTTTTCTTACTAAATTTCTCAAATAAGATCCATTTCCCCTTCTCATTTCCTCTCCATTCAGAAGCTCAGCTAGCTGGTCTGTATCTTTTCCCTTCTACTAAAACTATTATCTGTGATCACCTGTACCCTCATTGTTGACAAATCCAATGGCTGTTTCTTAGTATCCATTCATTTAATAATATATATTAATTGTACCAGACACTCTTCTAGATATCAGAAATTGAGTGGTGAACCAAGAGACAAAGGCCTTTTGCGAAGCTCACAGATGCTGAACAAGCTGTCAAATGTGTTAAATATCCAGAAGGAGAGCTAGCAGAGTCCCATAGGAAAACATCATGGGAGACTAACAGAGCTACATTTTTACTGCTACCTGGCAATCCTAACAAACCGTGGACCAACTCCTTTTTCATTTCCTCACAATGAATATTCCTGACCTTAATTGCTACACTAGACTACAGGACTAAAATTCAAGATCTCATCTCTCCGACTCCAAAGCCCTAGCTCATTCACACTGTATACTGCATCTTTAATGCACAGGCCACAGAATATGTACACGTGTATGTATCATTCCTAATATTCCGTCTTAGTATATATCAGAAGTCTAAATTAGAATACCAACCTGCTCTCTGAATGGAATCTGTAAGAATTCTGTCCGCTGTGTCATACTTGGTGTGATAAATGTATCCGTTCTCAATAAAAGCTAAGTCTATTCCTAAGGTATACAGAAAAAAAAAAGTCATTTTGCTTTAAAGATCAACCTTGCTTTAGGCCTATTTGTTTAATAAATTCCTAAAGGACAAAATGTCAAAGCAGTGGCATGACTGCTTAGTCACATTTACAAATGAGTGACATAAATTATCTTCCAAATTCTTACACAACCTATAGCTTTGGTACATAATTTGATACATAATGATTGAAGAAGTATATACTCCATAGGGAGACATTAAAAGTCACACAGTAAGGGTAGGAATATTGACTTGGGGAGGCCATCAAAATTTTGCCACCTACGTTCTTGCCCGGACAGAGCCAAATTTAACTTCAAATAAGACAAGATGCCAAGGGAATTGGCAAAGCAAGACAACAACGAAAAGACCCCTGAAGGATCTATTACCATCTTTTGGGAAGGAGGTGCTAAACAGTTCTTCCCTGTTCTTCTGTCACATTATGAGGCAAGATGACATATTCTAGAGGAGGCAAGCATTTAAATTAGTATGGAGTTTAAAAAAGGAAAGCATCAGGAACTCTGTTTTAGTGAGTCAATGTCTATTTCTCAGATAAAGAAATTGTTTCAGAAAATGCTGTTTACTCATAAACTTTCAAGATTAAAACTTGCTTTTGATAAATAAATGTTGCACAATAGGCCTTAACCATTGACAATATACCTGGGATGTTCCCAAAATCCCTGTAGATACGAAAGTCAGTATCTGAAGGAATGATTCCACTCTGAAAAACCTCCTGAGCCACCACAGAAGCAAAAGGGTGTTTAGCTGCCGAAACATAAGCTTGAACCAACCAAGGATTTTCAGGACCTAAAATGAAATGTGACAACACAATAGAAGGTTATTCTGGCAATTTTTTTAAACATACTAATGTTTTTCAACACATTGAAAACAGTAACAGTGGTAGTTTTGGAAGACTGGTTCAAAATATATCTTTTCATCCCTTTTTCTGTAGTTTCCAATGTTTCTCTTATATGTCTTTTAGAAAAAATAACCTCTTGTGAAAATAAAATTATTTTAAAGTATAAAATAACAACAATACAAAAAGTCTGTTTGGGCCGGGTGCGGTGGCTCATGCCTGTAATCCCAGCACTTTGGGAGGCCAATGCAGGCAGATCACAAGGTCAAGATCAAGACTATCCCAGCCAACATGGGGAAACCTCATCTCTACTAAAAATACAAAAATTAGCTGGGCGTGGTGGTGCACAACTGTAGTCCCAACTACTCGGGAAACTAAAGCAGGAGAATTGCTTGCACCTGGGAGGCAGAGGGTTGCAGTGAACTGAAATCGCGCACTCCAGCCTGGCAACAGAGCAAGACTCCGTCTCAACAATAAAAAAACAAAATAATAAACAGTCTCTCTGAAAATGAAAGATCATTCATAAATCTATCATCTGAAAATACCTATTATCAATTTTATATCTTTAATTTTCTTACTAATATATAGGATTGTATGTAGCTATACTCAATGAAGATATATATACTCTGTACATTATTTTTTCACTTAACATTATATTAAATGTATTTTCCTATGTTTCTAGATACAAGTTAGGTATACATTATCTGAAATGCTTGGGAATAGAAGAATTTCGCATTTTTGACTTTTTTGGATTTTAGAATGTCTAGATTATACTGGTAAGCATCCTTAAACCAAAAATCCAAAATCAGAAATGCTCCAATGAACATTTTTTTTGAGCTTTGCTCAAAAAATCTTGAATTGTGGAACATTATGGATTTCAAATTTTCAGGTTAGGGATGCTCAATATGTAATACAATAATCATTTTGATAACTGCTTAACATTTCACTGAATATGCCATGAAGTTCCTTGCTACTTTTTATAATTTGTCATTATTAAAAATTTTCCATCTGTATCTCATACATCTACAGTTTTCAAACAGGAGTTTTCCCTTAAGGATAGTGGGATAAATTGTATTATAATTTATATAATCATAATTACATAATTATATGTATAATTATATAATTATTCACTCTTCCCTCCCTGAAAAAGGATTATACATTCCTACTCTTGCCACATAACTTGTAATGCCTGCCTGGAGAACGACTATACACTCTTTCTTCTATACCTACTAACTGCAGGCATGGATACATTACTTGCTCTGGGCAACAGAGTGTAAGGAGGAATGCCATGACCCTCAACTGAGCAGACTTCTCAAAGGCATTAACAACATTCATACCTACTTTTAACTTTGATTTGTGAGATCAATACATCCCTAATAGGGGTTTTCTCCTTCAGCCTGGATCCCAGAATGAATAGGACACATGGAATATAATAACCATGGATCATAACTGCAGTTATTCAGAAAACAGAATGCAACACAAGCAAGAAATAAGCCTTTCCTGTTGTAAACCACTAGGATTTGGGGGTTGTTACCACAAAAGTTAGCAACATATTTACTGATGTAAACAGACCAAGTAACTGAATGTCAGGGAATCTAAGAATATTATTTTTGTAACTTCACAGATTATAAAATTGCTTTCCTACATTTTAAAAAAATGACCAAGGCTGGATGCAGTGGCTCACACACGTAATCCCAGAACTCTGGGAGGCCAAAATGGGCAGAGGACTCGAGGTTAGGCATTCAAGACCAGCCTGGCCAACATGGCAAAACCCTGCCTCTACTAAAAATGCAAAAATTAGCCAGGCATGGTGGTGCATGCCTGTAATTTCAGCTGCTTGGGAGATTAAGGCAGGAGAATCACTTAAACCAGGGAGGCGGAAGTTGCAGTGAGCCAAGATTGCACCACTGCACTCCAGCCGAGGTGACAGAGTGAGACTCCATCTCAAAAAATAAACATAATATTAAAAAAAATTTAAATGACCAAAAAAAGCAAAGAGACACTACAGAAAAAGACACACAGGTAATCCAGATACTGGAGTTAACAGACACAGATTTTTTAAATGATTAATATGTTTTTAAAAACACAGAGAATATCAATTTTACCAGACCAGTGTAATCCATTTAAAAGAGTCAAATGGAAATCCTAGAACTGAAAAACACAACTGATGTTGAGAATTTTAATAAATGAGCTTAACACAAAGTTTAATACGTAGCAGAAGGGATTAAAATTAAAGCATAGAAAGAAAAAAAGGTTGGAAAATACACAAATGTGAGTAATTGGAGTCCCAAAAGAACAGTAGATACGATGGAGAAGACAAATGTTTTAATATTTAATGGCCAAGAATCTTCCAAAACTCATAGAATTCAAGCATGAATTCAAAAAGGTCTACAAACCCCAAACAAAATAAATATAAACAAAAACCATACCTGGCAGCATTTGCTTTTGAATACTATTCCCCACCAAAAGAAACCATGTCTCCTTAGAGAAATGGCTGACTCCAGGTCTGGGACTACCAAAGTACAAGGTAAGTTGAAACACCTGTGTCAGAAAGCAAGCCAGTGCTATACAAGACATGTCAATGGGGCTCAGGCACTGGTTTGAAGTAGACACCACTAGCCTAAACTGGGACAATTCATGCAACAAAATCAATGACAGTTACAGGATATATAATTTACAGAGTAAAATTAAAATATATAAAGTACTGAAATAACAAAAGAATGGAAATTGGAAAGCCTTCCTTCTAAGAGAATTCCAACTATTATCTACAGGAAGAATGACGGAGCCAGAAACTCAGTATTAGCATTTGGTAAACATTATAATAAAAATGCATGGGGACAAGAGCCATCAATGATTGCTAAAACTAGGATCAAAGTTTTATGGCCAACAAGATATTTACTTAAAGTATCCATCACTAAGGGGAAAACAGTAACTTGTACAAATAAAGAAATAGTAGAAAAACTTGGCAAATAAATATCTTAAACAATGAAAATGTAATATCAATAATTAATAATAAGAAAAATAGATACTACATGCCTCCTGATGTGATGCACTGAGAGGGACACAAATACAAAAGGAACAAAAAAATGATGGGGACATACACAGATTATGAGACTTTATCATATTAAAATACTATTATATTATTACTCTTTGATATTAATCAATTTATACTAAAAAACATGATGAAAACTGTACTGAAAAACAGGTAAAGCCAAACTATAATTAATTATCTTAAAAATTAGGATAACAGTTCCTTTAGATGGGAGGGAGTTGTATTTGAGAAGAGACAGATAAAAAAAATGCCAAGGTGGGCAAGGCAATCCACCCTCTTTCATGAGGCAGGGTTGGAAAGATTTTCACCTTACAATAATTAAGTCTTCAACTTTTTTTTTTGACATGTGTTAAATAATGATTATGATTTATTTAACAATGCTATATTTGATCCCAGATGTTTTAAATGGCTAGGACATTAATGGAACAAATGGAAAAATCTAAATATGCATTGTTTATTATAGTTTATTGTTTATTATAGCATGTAATCAATGTTCGGTTATAGAAGAGCATGTCCCTCTTTCTTTATGAGAAGATCATTCTGAGATTGTTGATTGACATCATTTTTCAGACTGGTGCCACCCTTGTTACTGATCTTTGTAGCCAGGATAATTATCTCAAAAAAATAATATAATCCTCTTCATTTTTCCTTTAAAAACTTTTGTCTTCCTTTACTGACCTAGTTTATTATGGCACACAGTTTCACATAGTTTACTATGGCACATGTATTCCTACCACAATGTCCATTACTAAATAAATGCCATCTTTGAGAGTCTCCCTCGGTCTGTTATTTAGATTAACAACCTCACATACATTACACTAAGTTAAAAAAAAAAAAACAGACACAAAGACCATGTATTGTATGATTACATTTATAGGAAATGTCTATAATAGGCAAATCTTTAGAGACACAAAGTAGACAGGTAGTTGCCTAGGGATGGGGGAAAATGGAAATGACTGCTAGTGAGTTTCCTTTTTGGGATGATAAAAACATTCTAAAATTGATTTGATGATGATTGCACAACTGTGAATTAAAGATCTCAATAAAGCTGTAATTAAAAAAAAAAAAAGAATTAATTCTAAAGAAGGCTGTAGGCCAGGCACAGTGGCTCATACCTGTAATCCCATCACTTTGGGAAGCTGAGGAGGTGGATCACCTGAGCTCAGGAGTTCAAGACCAGCCTGGCCAACATGGTGAAACCTCGTCTCTACTAAAAATACAAAAATTAGCCAGGTGTGGTGGTGCACACCAGTAATCCCAGCTACATGGGGGCCTGAGGCAGGAAAATGGCTTGATCCCGGGAGGCGGAGGGTGCAGTGAGCTGAGATCACACCACTGCACTCCAGTCTGGGCAACAGAGCAAGACTCCATCTCAAAAAAAAAAAAAGGTGGCTATAAAGTAGCAGTTAGAATATGATTCTATTTTTGCAAGAAATATATATACACATATATACATGTATATTAATGTTTGTACTTAGAAAAAAATCCAGACTATATACTGAACTATAACCCTGGTTTGCTCTGGATGGCAGAATTACAGGGGCATGAATATTTTCTCAAAAGGAAAATACAATTCTGTGACCCTTTTGCAATCAAGCCTCTCTCATTCATGAAATGAGGTCACTGGTCTGATAAAATCAAGTAATTCTTTCTGGCCCTTCTTAAAAATTACATAGTAATGATTATTCTAGTCACTAAAAACTCACCAAATGTCTATTTCTGAACTGACAATGGAGTACTAGAGCACAAACTGTTTTAAACAAAAAGTTTCCAGGACAGGACAAATACTATCACACAGAAAAAGAAGTCTGGTTTAAAAAGCTGAGGACAGCATGATCTGGCATACACTCTCAAGCACAACTCCAAAGCCAGGCAGGCCTTTATCCTCTTTTAGTTAAACATGCAAATAACACTAACTAGCTTTTTGAAAGCCATCCCCATGAGAAAGGTAGTCTTTTGTAGGCAGTGGCATTAAAAGAGAGAGAGAGATGCTGGGAAAGGTATTAGAATGTCAGAAAGCACCCGGAAAGCTTTCAGGCATGCAGTTTGGCCATAATAATAAGCTCCAAAATCTGGAGGAAAAAAAATCATGTAAGAATTCAGAGAAAAGAGGGAGACAGTCTCTTCAAATCTTAAGTAGGATGCTTCTCCAAAAAAAAATCAACTTTGAAATATGGGGATTTTAAAATGAGTAAAACATTTAAATTTTATGTTTACACTAGCGAGTCATAAATCTGTTTTTTGCTTTATTATTAAAGTGATCATATACATTGCAAAAGTTTCAATACATAAAATTTTCGTATAAGTAATGCATTAATGACAATCAATTCCGGTCTTAAATTCATGAAACAACAGAGAATGTAAACTGTTGTTTTACCTTTAACCCAGTCTTCCATTTAAGTGACACTTACCCCCTACCAGCGACTGCTCAATATGTAGGTAGGACCATCATTAACAGTTTGTATACATCCTTTTAGATAATGTAATTATTTTTAGAATTTATGCAGCTGCAGAATTTTTATCTAAAACCATATACATTTAATAAAAAGAGTAAGGACCCTGGGCTAGGCAGGCCTACCAAAAGCGAGTGCTAATAGATGTAAATAAGTAACGGGTAGTCAATCTGGACCTGACTAGTCATTAGTAAGTGTGTTTTAAACTCTCTTGACTACACATATGTAAAATATGTTAATATATGTGCATAAGTACTTATGCATTAATATATATGTACATAGAAAAAAATCCAGGAAGGGTAGTTTAAACAATAAGGCTGGTTTTTCTTTGGATAGGAGTGTAGGGATAAGGTGCTGTGATAACGTATTAAAAGTATGGAGATGAAGGCACTTAACATATAGCATACTTCAACATGGAAAATATACAGACACACTCCTCCTACATGGAGCCCTGAGATTTTTCACAAGAGGAAAGAAAAACTGAGTGTCCTCTCTGCTTACAGTATTTTCTCTTGCTGCTTTTTGATCTGGTGGTTGTTATCTGTACGTGTTCCTCCTATCTTGAGTGACATCCAAGAAAAAGAAAGAGGCTGGGCGTGGTGGCTCATGCCTGTAATCCCAGCACTTTGGGAGGCTAAAGCAGGCAGACTGCTTGAGCTCAGGAATTAGAGACCAGCCTGGGCAACCTGGCCAAAATCCATCTTTACAAAAAAATAAAATAAAGTAACAAATTATGCAGTCCCAGCTACTCAGGAAGCTGAGGTGGCAGGATCTCTTGAGCCCTCAGGAGGTGGAGTTTGTAGTGAGACGAGATCATACCACTGCACTCCAGCCTGGGTGACACAGTGAGACCCTGCTCAAAAATCTATGTATCTATATATATATGTTGATAATAGTGTAGAATCTACTTAATCCTGCAGATATTAGATCCCTGCTTCTTCTCATTAAAGAGTAAAGAGTAAGAATAAAGGAGAAAGATTTGAGACTTAAAAATAGAACCTTGCCGCTTCTGACATCATGACCTTGAGATTCTCAAACACTTAGCTGAAGTAAAATATACATACACTTTGAAAGATAAAAGCTTAAAATAAGATCAATGGAGACTATTAAAATATAGTATTGTTTAGACTACGAAGACATACTTAGCACTTAGCATAGCTTCATAATTTAAATAACTTCAGGTCATAAGAGGGTGCTACAAAACAAGTTCCACATCATCTTACTTTCCCCAGCCCACTTGGCATGCACCACACTATTCAACATTAAAACATCTAGCAAATGCTACATCTCTGGATAAAATGCATTCTAACAGGACAGGGAGATGGAATGGAACTTCCAATGTCAAATTTTAATATGCCCTCACTAAACAAATCTATGAGCTTTGAATTTTGTTAACAAAAACAGTTAAAACCCATTTATGCCTGAGGCTGCAATTTTTTTAATTTTTGCATGTGTGAAAAATCAGACCTTGGTGACCACCTTGAGCAGAAAGATATAAATAAATCACACGGGCTTAGTGTTTCAATAATGGGACACTAGGCATAAATGGGCTAAGCTGATATTTATCAACTCTATCCTGCTATCCTTAGAAAAATGTAATCATAAAACTAAAACTATTTCTCTAGGCCAGGCATGGTGGTTCACGCTTGTAATCCCAGCACTTTGGGATGTCAAGGCAAGAGAATCACTTGAACCACCCCCTACTCCAGGAGTCTGAGACCAGCCTAGGCAACACAATGGGAGCCTGTCTCTACAAAAACATTTTAAAATTAGCCAGGTGTGATGGCAAGCACCTGTAGTCCCAGCTACTCAAGAAGCTGAGGCAGGAGAATCACTTGAACCCAGGAGGTCAAGGCTGCATGATGTGGCACCACTGCACTTGAGCCTGGGTGACAGAGCATGGCTCTGTCTCTAAAAAAAAAATAATAATAAAACAAAAATTCTTCTGGCTGAGTAAATATTACTAAATTTTTTTTAACATTCCATTAAATCAATGATAAATTTAAACCTGTTAAACTACAGGTAAATTTTCTCATTTTAACTCATGAAATGATTGACATTTAAAATTATTTATATCATAATCACCCATGGTGGCTAAAAATTCACTACCTATATAACAATCTAGTTGGAGGTTGAGAACAAAGTTTCTGCACCTGGACTGTCTAGGTTCAAACTGCACTCTGCCATTAACCAACTGTGAAACCTTATGCAAGTTATAATCTTTCTGGACTCAGTTTCATCTCTAAAATGGAAATAACAGTACTTATCTTACATGTTGCTTGGAGAATTCATTGACTTAATATATACAAAATGCTTTCAACAACACTTGGCATATAATAAGCACTATACAAGTGTTAGATGCTATATTATTTTGTTCAATATTTTTAACAAAGACAAGCTAACACCACCTCATGCTTTCAGAATGTTCATTCAAGAGACTGTTTATTAAAGAGATTACCTATAATCAAAAACTTCCAACTTTTATAAAAACTAGAATTGCATTGAAATATACAACCCACAGTCTCACATACCTGTTTGGAATACAAGTTCTTTCCCTCCTACACCTGCTGCCTCCAGGTTAATGAATGCACGAATCAAGCTAGCCCAGGGGTGCTGAGTAATGAAACCATGACTGGCCTTGAGAAGGAAAAAAAACAAATATTTGTTAAACAATCTTAAACTATCAGTCCTGATTTTGCTTAAACACAAAGAGCCTATTTTGATGAGGTAAGGAATATGAAAACAAAATAATCACTCTTCAAAGGCAGTATCCAAAGACATTTTCTGCTTCTTTTTCTATGCATAAAGGCCATGCACATCATGGGTTTGGAAAGGCATCCGTCACAGAAGGCAGCCTGATTACCATTAGTGGTGCCAAACAATATCCCTGGTAAGTACAAGGCTGTGCAAAAGAAAAGGCAAAGAGGGCTGGGCAGGGTAGCTCACGCCTGTAATCTCAAAACTTTGGGAGGCCAAGGTGGGAAGATCACCTGAGCTTGGGAGTTTGAGACCAGTCTGGGCAACATAGCAAGAACTCATTTCTTTTTAAAAAGAAAAAAAAAAGAGAACAGATAAGACAATCCATATGGCTGGGCATTTGTTTGTGCCTGTCTCAAAACATCTCTGAAACTTCAATGTCAAAGAAAACCTGAGGAGAGTAATTATGTCATCAAAGAGCCCTTCTGTGAATCAAACACTGCCACAATGATCCAATGAGTGAAGTTTTCCAAGTATTAAACATCTCTAGATAAATGGTTGTGAATTTATTATTTAGTGTATATATTTTTTGCATATCATTTTATACTACCCACAGGAGTAATAAAAATGCATTTAAGTGTTAGCTATTATTATTCTCATCCTTATTCAAGCCTAATAATTAAAACAGTAAAATCTCACTTGCAAGACATTTTCCTCAGCACCATTAAAGAGAAATATGACAGCATGATGCAAGGCTTCTGAAGATGTTGACAAGACACGAAGGACCTCCAGCATCACTGAGCAGCTAACTGCATCATCACTGGCACCTTCAAATCAGAAAAACAGATTTGCTGCTCAGATTTTCAAATCTTTACAACATGATCCATTAGGACTAGGAATGGATTTTTTTTCCCCAGAGAAGCATCACAATAGCTGCATGACCAGAAGCATAGCTCTGTCATCATCAGGTGACAATTACATCTACCAGCAGCAAGTTCCATGACGGGATCTTTGTCTGGTTTGCTCACTGACTTACTCTCAATGCCTACAACCAGGCCTGACCCACCATAGTCACTCAATTAGTGTCTGCTAAATAAAGCAACCTGAGGGGACCTAATGTCATACTGGAACTGGTATTCTCAACAAACCAAATAAATCTGTTCCATTCTTTACCCATATTCCGCATCCTCTCTAAAATCTCACTTCCGGTGCTCACAGCTTCCTGCATCATCTCCCACTGCACCCACTCCTTTCTTGTTTTCCTGCCAGAATCATAAAAAGCTGCACAGAGAGGTCATTTTAGGTGGTGTAACATTCCTTTAAGGTTTCTCCAAGGGGAATATGCAATGAAAAAGTATAAAGAAGATACCTAACGAGACACAAGAAAAAAGACTAATGACCTAAGTAGTATTCTTGGTCCCAGAACACATACTCAGTTGAACCTCTGAACCTCTTCTTGATTCAGAAACTGTATGTTAATAAAAACTAACTATAAAAATGACTTAACTGTCTTGCTTTTTTAAAGCTCTGTAAGAGGCAATTCAAGGAACTGATTGGATATTTGGTGATACCAAGGAATTATTGTTAGTTTTTTTTTAGGTGAGGCAATTGGTGGTATTATATCAAAAAAGGGCCCTTATTTTACAGCAATACAGACAAATATTTTTAGAGAGGAACTAATATAGCTAAGATCGCTTCAAAATAATCAAGAAGTTGGGATGGTAGTGGCAGGAAAGAAACAAGATCAGACTGCTGAAGTTGGGGGATAAGTACATTGGGGTTCAGTAAACAATTCCACTTTTTTAATATATTTGAAATTTTCCATAACAAAAAACTTAGAGTAATCTAAGTAAATAAGCACTATCATAACTCAGGCAATAACATTTCCTAGTTTAAACACTGAGAAGCAGAGTGCCAAAGAGTTTAGCATAGATTTGAGATCAAGAAAGACGTGGAAGTCAATGTGTGCTCTATCATTTTACTCCACTATTTCCTGGTTTAAAGAGCAAGCTAATGATACCTACCTCACAGGTTTGTTATAAGGGTCATACCAGATAATGGCCGGTGCCTAGCACCTGGGAGGCATTTAATATTCATTTTCCCTTCTCTTTGCAAATCTGAGGAAGGCTCTGCAGCTAGCTAAAATTAAAATGCTGTTTGGGCTCTGTTAAATTCCAGACTCCATTCCTACTTAAGAAGAAACCTTTTTTTTTTTTTTTTTGAGATGAGGTTTCGCTCTTGTTGCTCAGGCTGAAGTACAATGGCACAATCTCAGCTCACTGCAACCTCTGCCTCCCGGGTTTAAGCAATTCTCCTGTCTCAGCCTCTAGAGTAGCTGAGATTACAGGCATGTGCCACCACACCCGGCTAATTTTGTATTTTTAGTAGAGTCAGGGTTTCACCAGGTTGGCCAGGCCAGTCTCAAACTCCTGACCTCAGGTGATCTGCCCACCTCGGCCTCCCAAAGCACTGGGATTACAGGTGTGAGCCACCATGTGCGACCAAAACTACTTATTAACCATACTTGTCTAAGTGGTGATTACTGGTCTGTATTTCAATCTAAGTGAAACAAAGTAATAACTATCTAATCACTATCAAATAGAAAATGTTGCTATTAGCAAAAAGTATCACCCTCCAAAACCCTCATGAAATAAACCCTTTTTTTGACACTGTGAGTTACTTTAAAATAGAAAGCAAATAATAAAATGTTTCTTAATTCAAAAAAAGAGAAAGGGAAATTTAAAGGTATCTATACAGGGTTGATTAAAAAGTTAAATTGTCCATTCAGTATCCCCTATTTTAAGGTTCTGGTGTGTTATAGGAGAACTACAGAAGGGTCAAATATCTTTAAGAAAGTGAAGGAAAGTTAAGAGGACAGTCTTACAAGAGCTAGGTGGTTAACTGACATCCTTTTCCATTTAGAATTAACCTTGAAATTGAAGCCACCCACAAAATAACTCAATGCCTCTTCTACCAACGACCTGGAACCACACAGCAGACTCAAAAAGATAATTAAGGTTTTTCTGTGGATAACATTACTCCTAATTGGTATCAATTCCTGAGTCCTAGATACACAGCTGAGAATGTAAAAAGTACTTCAATTAGGCCATCCACCAAAAGGATCTAGGTGATAGTCTATTTCAGGGGTGTCCAATCTTTTGGCTTCCATGGGCCACATTAGGAGAAGAATTGTCTTGGGCCACATGTAAAATACACTAACACTAACAACCACTGATGAGCTTAAAAAAAAAATTGCAAAAAATCTCATGTTTTGAGAAAGTTTACAAATTTGTTTTGGACGACATTCAAAGCTGCCCAGGGTCACTGGCTGGACAAGCTTGGTCTACTTGATGAATGTGTGAAACACTATTTTTAACAATTTATTATTGACAGAAATTTCCTTGAGATTGTTGCTAAGGAAAATTTTAGTTAAAAGTAGGTTCTAGGCCAGGCACACTGGCTCCCACCTGTAATCCTAGCACTTGGGAGAATGAGGTAGAATTATCACTTGAGAAGTTCAAGACCAGCCGGGGCAACAAAGTGAGAACTTGTCTCTATTATTTAAAAAGAAAAAACAATAAAAAGAAAAAGTGCATTCTAATGACTCAGAAAAATGCTGACGTTTAATTATTAGACTGCACATATACAATTTGTAACATTTGGCACTATGTTTGTAAAGGGTAACTTAATATGCCACTCCAAAATATGTCACTTTGGCATATGGGTTATTTTGAGCTGAAGGCAACTGAGAAGTAGGTACTATACAAAAAAGCTCTCTGCCCTCCCCTTATTTGCCTAAAAGCAGGACATAAATTTACCAAAGTGTCCCGCTTCCCTCTCCACCAGGAAGTACAAAGGTTAATCACGAAAGACAACTTGAAACTCTTAGTGGCCTGGTGACAGCACAAGAGGAATCTATATAATACTTTACTAACCTTTATGTACCATTTATTTGCCTTCCTACAATTTGCCACCCCTGAAGACTCAAGGTACTTTTCCTTTCTTTTGTCACTTCTTTAAAAATGTATTGTTTTGTTGAAGATGCTACATAAGCCAGATTTCTAAGCTACCTCTTTGAGATGTATCTCCCATGTACATGAAGTGCATGTGTTAATAAACTTCTTTTTGATTTTTCTCTTTTTAGCTTGTCTTGTGTTACAGGGGTCCACCAGTTAAAAACTACGAATGGCAGAAGGGAAACTGTTTTCTTTTGTCCCCACATTTGCTTCTAATTCTTGTATACACAGCCTTCTTACATAAAGTTAAGCAACCACGGTGTTTATTTGCCCCTTCCCAGAATTTAAGCATCGCTAATAGTGGGCAAAGGGCGACATTTATTCCTGTTTTGAAATGGACATTAAAAAAAAAAAAACCACAGTGGTGACTGGGCACGGTGGCTCTCGCCTGTAATCCCAGCACTTTGGGAGGCTGAGGCAGGTGGATCACTTGAGCTAAGGAGTTCAAGACCAGTCTGGGACGGGCGCAGTGACTAACACCTATAATCCCAGCACTTCAGGAGGCCAAGACGGGTGGATCACGAGGTCAAGAGATCGAGACCATCCTGATCAACATGGTGAAACCCTGTCTCTACTAAAAATACAAAAATTAGCTGGGCATGGTGGCGCACGCCTGTAGTCCCAGCTACTCAGCAGGCTGAGGCAAGAGAATTGCCTGAACCCAGGAGACGGAGGTTGCGGTGAGCCAAGATGGTGCCATTGCACTCCAGCCTGAGTAACAAGAGCAAAACTCTGTCTCAAAAAAAAAAAAAAAAAAGACTAGCCTGGCAACATGGTAAAACCCTGTCACTACCAAAAATATTAAAACATTAGCTGAGTGTGATGGCACAGCAGGAGAATTACTTGATTCTCATGAGAATCACTTGGTAGGCAAGGATGCAGTGAGATAAGATTGTGCCACTGCACTCCAGTCTGGCGACAGAGTGAGACTCGGTCTCAAAATAAAAACATGGCTACCCCAGTAGCACACAAAAGTACTTCTGGCTTATTTATACTGATTTTTGAAAATGCAAGTTACATTCTAAATGCAAATGTCAAGCTTTCTAAATGAAGATATTCTAACATGTATCATTTTATCAAACGAATTTTACTTACATTTTGTGTAACTCTAGATGTTCAAATTGGGCCCACTGTAAGTTCAAGTGACCCAGAAGTGTTAATATTATGTAAGAGTTAATAGAAACTTTTGAAAAACACTTTCCATGCCAGGTACTATTTTAACGTTTTACTTATATTTACTCCTCCCAGTAACACTATTAGGAAAGTACTATTATTTTCTCCATTTCACAGATGAGAAACTAAGAAGTTAAGCAATTTGTGAAAGGGAGTATTAATTACACTCTAATATTCTTTTTCCTTTCAAATGTAGCTGAAAGAACTGACTGGCCAGGAAATCCAGCACCTTATCCCAGTTTTGTCTCTGATCAGTGATGATCAGCTAAATTTATTCCTGTGTCAAATGAGAGGGTTGAGCCAGATGCCATCTCAGGTCTCATTTACCCCTAAAATGCTATACCATTGTAAAATGCTATTTTCTATCTATACTTACAATCTCTTTAACCACTGAAAACAATTTTCTGAAGAATAAATATTTTAATAAATGGAAGTTCAATTTAGGGGATTCTCATTCATCTGACAAATATTTATTATGTCAGGCACTGTCTTAAATGCAAGTGTTCTATTTTGCCAAATTATTTTCAGGGAAAGATTTACATATTAATTACGTACTTTAACAGTATGGCACCCTCAGTGGACCAAAATTCTCAACTTATAGGTCAACAGAATCTGCTATAAGAGATATCCCCCAACCTGCAGCCTGGGACAGCTTTGAATGCAGCCCAATACAAATCTGTAAACTTTCTTAAAACATGAGATTGTTCTGGAATTTTTTTTTTTTTAGCCCCTCAGCTATTGTTAGTGTATTTTATGTGTGGCCAATAACAATTCTGCTTCTTCTGGTGTGGCCCAGGGCAGCCAAAACATTGGACACCCCTGCTCTAAAACCGTGCATCCCTTGAAGGCAGGGACTGTCCTTATCTGGTATCCCCAAAGTCTAGTATAACAGCCAGCTAAGTAAAACACTTTTTAAGTTTCAGAACCTAACTCCAGGACACAAGGACACACACACTGTCTGGTAACATTGAGAAGTCTGTTTCAGTCTACCAGGAACATTCCAAATCTTGTCACTGGGTTGCTGGCATTAATACCAAAAATATATTATTAATAAAGCACTTAAGAGAATACAGAATGGTTAGATCCTAAACTAAAAGATACTATCCTAATTATCCTGCTTTCCATCACAAACAAAAAAGGTTTGCCCAAGAAAATGGTCCCCACAATTGCCCAAGTAGCTTGGGTTATGTTAACAAACTTTCTTGGCTGTAACAACTTCCAAATGACTAAAAACACAGGTACATACCTGGTGAGTTTGCTACTGAGTCAAAATGACAGTTAGCCAAGACAGCATGCTGGGCTCCATCTCTGGGTTCCAGCTTTACAACAATGTTGGTGATATTGTCATAATAGCTTGTAAAACCTCCCAAGAAATCAATGCTAAAAGAGCCTGTGGGCCGTTGTACATCTACTGAAATCCTATGAAGGCTGTTGCTTTGCACTTCAATCAGTTTAATCTGTTCCAAAAGGTAGTGCACTGTCAGAATTTCATTTTCTGGACTTCCTGTAGTCCTGGGGCCAATGGAGGTTATGTGTTCAAGATAATCCCTGGAAGTGACCAAAAGAGTAACAAAGGTTTGCAGTTAAAATTGACACTTAGCATGGGTAACTTTTCCAATACACACCCCTTCCTCCCCCAAAAAGCTTAGTTCTTTGACTTCTCATATAAAAAGGACTGCCTTTTATTATTTCAGACACCAAGTGAACATCACTTGTAAGATTCCATGACTTTATTTTTGCCTCCCCTGAGTTGACCCCCCTCAGTTTTCTCCACCATCCCACTCACAACTTCCCCTTGTATTCAAAACGTGTGACCACTGGCAGGGTGCCGTGGCTCATGCCTGTAATCCCAGCATTTTGGGAGGCCAAGACAGGTGTATTGTTTGACTCAGGAGTTTGAGACTAGCCTGGGCAACGTGATGAAACCCTCTCTCTTCTAAAAATGCAAAAATTACTTGGATGTAAACTAACACCCGCCTGTAGTCCCAGCTACACAGGAGGCTGAGAAAGGAGGACTGCCTGAGTCCAGCAGGTGGAGGCTGCAGAGAGCTGAGATGGAGCCACTACACTCCAGCCTCGGTGACAAGGCCAGACCCTGTCTCAAAAAACAACAAAAAAATAGTGTTGCCGCTGAAGGCTAAGCAGGATAGAATATAACCCGACTGTGCACACTCCTGAAGGTTATAGATTCTGGGTTAGTGATTTTAAGTAGCAGAAACCAATGAGCAAAGATCATCAAGTCAAGAGGTTAAATGGGTTGGGGGGACTTTTGATGAACCCAGCCCTCCTAATTTACACCCAAGGTATAATAACTTCAATTCAAGCCAAAACCGACTCTACCCCTAATGAAAACAAAAACTTTTTTTGTCTTTTCACTGCATTCCAAGTGGGGAAAGCTGGGGGTGGGGATGGGAGGTGTTTCAGAAATCCTTAATAAGCTTGCAACACTTTGCATTCTGAGAACTTTTTAGAACACAGCAGCTGCTGAAAACTTTAAACTAGGTTATCATTTCATGAGCTTTGACACACCTGGGTTACAATACCTATTACTTAATCACCTTTCCTAGCATTCTTAAAGGTCTTTAAAAAAAAAAAAAAGTCAAACCTTACACACCCACTAATCCAAGGGGCCTAAAGACAAACTGCAGGAATCTGAAAATTTATCAGGCTACATACCAAATTTTGACTGGGTTGTGTTCCAGAAAGATATAGCTTTCTGATTTGGGGGCTGTGACCCTCAGAAATTTAGAACACTGCCCTAGGCCCCTGCAACACCTCCCGCCCCCAAAGCGAATTGAAAAAAACGGTCTAGGTGCACAAATTTCACTCTCCATTCCATTTGGAAAGCAGAAGGGCTAAGCAAGGTAAAAAGTGGAAGCTGTTCCATAAGATGGGGAAGACGACTCACAACCAACCATCCGTACGCAGGGCAGACAGCAGGTGAAAAAGCAGGCTCAATCTACTGGCCACCCCAATCTGCACCACGAGCTCAACGGGGGACGGGCAAGTCCCGGCAATTCAGACCCCAGAAGGACAAGCAGGGTCACCCCATCCACCTCACGTGCAGCCCGGGAGGGGCTAGCAAGTCCTGGCGTTCCGGCAGGGGCGGGTACACACAGGTGCGGTGCCTCGAAGCCTAGGCAGGGGCCGCAAAGGGACCCGCGGGCCGTGCCAGGAAGGAGCGGCCAGTACCTGGCTTGGAGCGCGTCGAACTCCCCGCGGTGTCCAGCGGGCCCACGCAGCACAAGCTGCTGCAGTGAGAGCTGCACGAGCGTCCGCAGCGCGAGCAGGTAGAGAGCGAGCCCCAGCGCTGCGCGCGCCTCAGACAGCCCAGTCCCCGCGCTCCGGCTCGCACTGCCGCTTCCCCCTGGGCTCCTCTTCCGCGTCCTCCCGCCGCCGCCGCACCCATCCACCAGGGGCTCCTGCGCTTGGGTGTCCCTCTCCGGCGGTAACACAGCCGCCGATCCCTCCCGACGCTCTCCTCCGACGCGGTGCCTCCTCACAGCCGCCGACTCATAACCCCACTCCATGGCCAGGAACCTCGGCTGCCAACCCAACCGCCCCAGCCCGCGACAGCCCCGGCAGCCGCTGCCGCCGCCGCCGCAGCGCCTCCTAGTGAGCGGACGGAAACTGCAGAGGGCCAAACTTCTTCTGATTGGCCCGTCCCGCCTCACCAAGACCAGCTTCTTTGGCTGTTCACGGGTGGGCACAGCTGCGAGGCCGAACCAGTAGAGGGTGGTGGATATGCCGTCTCCCGCAGGGCTTTTCCAGCCTGATGTAGGATGGAGATTGCCAAATGGAAAGACACCTATTTACTCAAAACGAGGAACGTGGGAGATCACCTTCGAAAGAATACATAAGGCTCTTAAGGTGCACCAGGCAGATAAAGAAAACAATGGCCTGGATTTCGTAAGGAATATTAGAACATCAGGCTCCAAAACCGTGGGTTCCTGGCTCTTAAAATTAGAAATAAGACTATGCAGAGGAGGCCCAGCCTATTGCTTTTACATGCATAATCTAATCAGATCTTCATAACTCAGCAACTTAATCTGTGCTATTACTGTCTCCACTTAAAGAAAAATAATGGCTATTATTTATTGAATACCTGCTATGAGCTAATCGCTGGACGAAGTGCTTTAACACATTATCTCATTTAATTATCTTAACACTTAAAAGGAAATATTTTTGTTTCCATCTAATACCTGAGAAACGTAGAGATAACAGATGAAGAATGTAAATTTTATGTCATGGGCTCCCAAAACAGCATTCTGTTCCACTACTACATTAGCACTCTGCAAGTGAAGGTTCAGAAAGGCCGTTCTTCCCTTGACGACTCCCTGGGGTGTTAAGAAGCAGAGCCTTGGTTTTAGTGCAGATCCTAGTGATTATCTAAGTCTTCTTCCTGGTTGCTGGTACCCATGAGCCCCTCTGCTCCAAGGTTCTTTGTCCCCAGCTTGGAATTGCCACATTAGTATGGTCTCTTAACCTAGAGACCACTGGGAACGCAGACTGCCAGATTTTGACTTAACACATGTGTAGATTTCATACAATGTCCTTTGGGCCTGCTCCTGCTCACCTCTCAGGCTCCTCTGACACCAGGATGCTTCTTATTTCCAGCTCTCCAGCCACACTGGCCTCTTTCATAGACTTCCTGCACACCATCTTTCCTTCTACAATGGGATCTTCTCATATGCTGTTTGAATTACCTGGAGTGTTCTTCCCTCTCCTCATTGCCTTGTTAATGCCTAGTTATCCTTCAGATATCAGATTAAGTGGTACTTCCTCGAGCAAGAATCTCCTAATTTAATTAACCTTGCTTCCCCTATTTGTGAGCTCTCACAGCACCCTATATGCATGTGATTAATATCTCCTTCATTAGACTGCAAGCTGTGTGAAGGTAGGAATCAGGTCTGGTTTTACTTAACATTTTATTCCTTGCTCTTAACACAAAGCGTGACTCGTAGTATGTAGCCAGTAGATATTTCTTGAGTACATTAATAAATTAAAACATAACACTTTCGTGGCAGCGGCATAATTTTAGCTCTATAAGATCCCTTCCCATCTCTAAGCACCATGAGACTAAAGACAGTGGCTATCTTATTTAATCATCACTGTATCCATAGTGCTTAGCTGTGGATAAGAGTCTAGGCCATGGTCATAACTGTATTTTATATATATATATATTTATATATATATAACTATTATTAATATATATATAACTGTATTATTTATATATGTAACTGTATTTATATATTATTTATAATATATAATAGAGAGATACTATATAATATATAAATAATATGTATATATAGAGAGAGAGAGACTGAAATAATGAATTTATATTATCTTTGAAAAGAACCAACTATCTTAATATTTTCTTTCCCCAAACCCTAGAATCTCTACCATCTTTGGAAGATAAGCCCTAAGAACAGTACAGTATAACAAAATAGGGAGGTTTCTAGTTCCTAAGGGAAGAATACAAACGTTTCATGGTCTTTTATGCTTTCCTTACTTTGTGCTATCACTTACTGAGTTGGGTGGGTGTCAGAAAACCTAGGGACAAATTGCAGCTCTCAAGAACTATGTTACTTTTTCTGAATGGATAATGTACATTAAGCATCTCTGACAATATCCCATGGTACTGTAATAGGAAAGTGCTTGGCTGTTGAAGGACGGATAGATCTGCGTTGCTGGCTCTGGTACCTTTAGTACGCATGGTATTAGTCAGGTTACAATCTCACAGAGTCCCCCTGTATTTATTTGTGATCATGCAGATGATACCTGCCTTAAGGGGTTTCAATGAGGATTAATCAGCTAATATATGGGAAAGATCCTCACATAAAAGTCTCATTAAAAACTATTTTTCAGAATTTTCCTTCTCACACAATCCTTTGTAAATTAGATTACAAGCTACTTTCCTATCATGATAATCATAAAGCTCTAGGTGGTGGAAGTTAGGTTACAGTTGAGCTCTTGAAAGGCAGTTTTTGTCTAGACTTGTATAGTCTATTGTATTCACATTTGAATATGTTTAGCTACCAATTGTTGAATATCTTTGTGTCAGATACTGATCAAGGTGGAGAAACAGAGAGAACACATCAATGTTTCTACCTTCCTAGAGCTTACATTCTAACAAAGAGACAATAAACGTGTGTGTGTGTGTGTGTGTGTGTGTGTGTGTGTGTGTGTGTGTAAAATGTCAAAGAGTTAAGTACCATAAGCAAAAATAAAGCAGGGAAATTGATAGTGACAGAAGCTGCTGTTTTATTAGGGTGATCAGAGATGGTCTCATGGTCTCTCTGAGAAGATGACATCTAAGGTGACCTGAATGAAGCAAGGAATAGGGCCACGTAAGCCTTGAGAGATAATGTCCCAGAAGAGGAAAGTGAGCTGGGATGCTCAGAGGCAACACTGAATAAGGCACACACTAAAGCACACTGAGCTGGGAGCCCGGATAGAGATGAGGTGACAGAAGTGGGTAGGAGCCAGTACAAGGAGAGCCTCCTGGTCACAAAGAGAACTTTGGGGTAGTTCTGAGCAGTGAAAGGTCATGCTCTAAGTAATGTTTTATAAGATCACTCAGTCTCAGTCCGAGACAGAACAGCACAATGACCACATCTAGAACATATAGGCTAAAAAAAGACTTGGATAATGTCTGATCTTTGAAGTGTTTGGGGCCAGTTTGATCTATAATTTTATTTATGTTGAAAGTAGACCACAGTGAATTGGAGCACATGCTCTAGTTCTCACATATCAAATCCCTGATGAAGAAGAGATAAATATGAAAGGCTTTGGCTGCCCCATTTGGTGAGCTGTTCATGGGGTTGAGTCAATTCATCTGAGCTGTTCATGGGGTTGAGTCAATTCATCTGGCTTGGGAAGCAATTATGCTTTTCTGTGTCTCCCTTTATGACAAAGTGAGAGGTAAACTGACAGACATAGAGATGTCCCATGTCCCTTCTGTCTTGCCATCTCTTCAGTATTTCCTAGGACTTTGGACAAGGTGAGTGGAAAGACATATGAGTTGTCAAGATTCAGGTAAACTGCCAGTTTCTGTCTTCCCCATAGGTCCTTCCATAGCCAATGTGCCATAGAAGAAAATCATAGCCTATGTCCTGTCTTCCTTGAAAGAGGGACTACCAGTGCATCTGGTGAAGTTCTCTGAGGCTCAGGCTAGCAGAAGGATGCCTTTTATATGTTACAGTGACATTCAAATTAGGTAAGATACTAAGCCAAGAGGTGAGAAGTGAGCCCAAACCAGTTGCAGAAAAAAAGAAGCAGTTGTCAAAAGCTGACCGGCCTTTGGAGTAAGTTAAAAGATTGCAAAACCAAGTGCAAGGATTCCAAATGTAGAATGATGCATGGGTAAATGTAGCCAGGTGTTGTTGCGGACAGCTGGGTTTTATGTGCTCACTTAGGTGGTATGAAAGTGAACCAGCTTTGTTTAAGATTCAGGGTACACCATCAGTTTTTTAGGGTTTTCTTTGTTTGTTTATTTAGATCCCTTAAGGCTAAAGCTTGAGCCTCAGGGTGCTGTTGGACAACTGATCTTTCCAACTGTGAAGCTCAAAAGTGGAGCATTCAGGAGCTAGTGACAATGGTCAGCTCCAGGGATCACCTCCAACAAGCCTGGAAACCTGGAAGCTGGCAGTGCTGGCAAGAAAGGGCATTCCAAAAGGCACATGGGCCAGATCTGTAAATCTTCAGAGCTTTTCTACCCCCATGAGCTTAACTGGCCTTGGAGCCTAGGGAAAAGGTAATTGCACCCCACTTTTAATCCCCCACCTCAAATTCTGGGCTGGTCCTCTCTGTTCTCTAGGTGCGCATGGAGAAGTTAGAGAACAAGCCTGGCTGTATTGCTAGCTGAAGCCACTATGTCAGGTTGCTTTTTTTCCATGGCCTAGTAAAAAGGAGATTCTCTGATTTTGGAAGAAGAATCTGTATTAATCTTAAAAGCCTTCCAGAAACAAATGGGGTTGAGACAATTGGTTGTTTTCCTTTTTTTTTTTTTTTTTTTTTAGAGACAGAGTCTAACTATCTTGCCTTGGCTGGACTTGAACTCCTGACCTCAAGCAATTCTTCTGCCTTAGCCTCCTAAGTAGCTGGTACTATAGGTGTGCCACTGCATCTGGCCAATTGGTTTTTTTGGGGGAAAAAAAATCAAATTAGAACCTCATACCATATTATGTATACATAGTATTCAAGTAGAATTTAGAATCAAATATCAACTACTGTTTAGTATAAAAATAAGATGAATTAAATAGTTATAATAATTAAAACTCAAAAGTACAAGGACTCTTTAATCAAAAGAGAAGTGAAAGATATCATAAAAAGAAAAATCACATATTGGCTATACAAAATTAAAAACTACATAAAAAACAGCAAAAAGATGAAAAGTCAAATGATAAATGGAGGACACTATTTCAACAAACTTTTTTTTAAAAAAGAGGATAATGTATGTTATATACATTATTCTCTCTCTTTCTCTTCATGTCCATGTTATATACACCTGTATATAACTGTGTATGTGTATAAACATGTGTGCACAGAAATCAGTAAGAAAAATATCAATGCCTCAATAGAAAAATATGTAAACCATTCACTTTTAGTAACAAAGGAATGCATGTGAAAATGTGAACCATTTTTATCACACTGAAAAGGCAATTTTTCACTGAGAGCAGTGGCTCAGCATGTAATCCCAGCACTTTGGGAGGCCAAGGCAGGTGGATCACGAGGTCAAGAGATCGAGACCATCCTGGTCAACATGGTAAAACGCTTTCTCTACTAAAAATATGAAAAATTAGCTGGGCATAGTGGTGCGTGCCTGTAATCCCAGCTACTCAGGAGGCTGAGGCAGGAGAATTGCCTGAACCCAGGAGGCGGAGGTTGCAGTGAGCCGAGATTGCGCCATTGCACTCCAGCCTGGGTAACAAGAGCGAAACTCTGTCTCAAAAAAAAAAAAAAAAAAAAAAGACCAGCCTGGGCAATACAGTGAGACCCCATCTCTACAAAAAAAAACACCAAAAAAATTAGCTGGGTGTAGTGGTGCATGTCTAAACTCCCAGCTACTAGGGAGGCTGAGGTGAAAGGGTTGC